AGGCCACGAAGGTCTCACAGATTTTCAATAGTCCAGGTCCTGTGGCCATGTAGCCGGCCACCTCACCCGGACGCGCCTTGCTGATGCTCACCTCACTTATGTAAGCAATGGTAGCCAAGCAAGAGAAGAAGGCTGCCACAATACGGTAGTCGCGAATCGTACTGGGTCCTGTGGAATGTTTGAGGAAGTAGATTGGGAAGATGATAGAGGTGGACAAACAGAGTAGGGCAGCGTAGCAGGCAAAGGTGATAGGGAAGTTCTTCCAGGAAACAGGGACTTTCGTCTGCAGACCGAAAAGCTCCACCAGAAACACGAGCAGAGTGCCGGCAAAACTGAAGGCCCAGCAGAAGATGCACCAGTCTCCGATGATGGGGATGGTCCTGGCACCATGCACGGCCACAGAGAATGCCACACAGGAGAAAGCCAGGGCTGCCAGCCGTGTCCACAGCAGAAGGTTGAAGTGGAGGACTATTGCCATGATGAGAGGTGAATTGGGCGATGAGAGAAGCAGAACAGATTCCTCTTATTTGTGGGAGTTTCCTCTGTCAGGCAGACGAACCTGTAAGAAAAAGAAAATGATTAGTAAGTGGTGTTTTAGAGTCTCATGCAATTTTTTATGGCTCCAGATGAAATACAAGCTATAACTATGTGAGGCCAGCAGTCTGTGCCCAAAGAGAGTCAGTCCTCCTACATAATAATTTCTGAGTGAAACAATGATGCCTTTGTATTTTCATGAATGGCTAAAACAACTCAAATCCTGAAAACGCAAAAACTACAAATAATGAGTTCACTGTGGTCAAACCCATCACAGTCCATTTACATCTGGTCAAATCAGCTGGTGAGCGCGCCATCTTTTATTTCTCTTGTAGTTTATGTCTCATGAAAGCTCCAGACTTGTTCTCATAACAGAATTGAAGCATCAAGTGCAGCCTCCAGTGGTCAAACATTTACAGTCGTTGCGACAGTTGTCACGGATTCACACCCTGGGGTCAGCGCAAAGCTGAAAGGAATCTCTAAGAAGAGAGGTGATGGGTACAAGTGAACAGAGTAGTGAGAGGTAGTTACCTCCAGACCAAATATTGTTTTTCTTTTAGTTAATTAATTTATATTTATTTTTTCTTCAACAAGATGCTGAAAACATTCCTTAATTTTGGTCCATACTGACATGACATATATA